TGAAGACGTTTAAGGTAAATTTTAAACATTTTTTCGTAAGTCAATACATTTTCTGTAAGACCAAAACTCTTGATGATCTGTACACGCAAAAATAACTTGGAATAAACTGATAATTAGTATTGTACAGATAAAAGCAGGTATAGTATAAATTCAATTAAGGAATCTTTCAATTTGGGACAGTTTTTTGATTGGTTACCCCCAAAAACGCAAGGCATTATGGGGATGTGAAAGTAGAGAATTGAAGTATCTCATGATATTCTTGGGGGTAGGGGAAGGGGATTAATTCATATTTGTACTTTTACACTAGTGAATGTAATAAATCCGGCGTTCTCATTGGTCACAATTTACGTCTTATGCTGTTATATTCACGTTTGTCGTTATGTGCCGCTTAGAGAGAGAAATAAAATATATAAAAAAACTCAAATTAAATTCACTCGTGTTAAAAATACTAAAACATAGCCGCCATGTTAGATAAAATATCAATAGAAATTTCGGTATATTTTTAATGTCATCCAACATGGCGTCTATGATGTCACATAAAAGCCAGAAAATACCTCTCAGATATTTTTCGTTCATTTTCCATTTGCTTTTCCATTGCTTTCAATTTCTCTTCCATCTTTTCTACCATCTCATTCTGGTCCTTAGCGATTTCTCTCATGTTTTCTATCACTACGTCCTTCAGGCTATTTTCGTTAGTTGCAGTTTTCAAGTCTTCGTCTTTTTGCTTGATCTCTTTAGTGAGTCTCTTTATCTCGCTGTCTTTTTGTTTCTTTAGGCTCTTTAATTCCTTGTTCAATTTCTATGCAACGAGGAATGAGTTTTCAATTTATTTTGCTAAAGAAAATCTATCCATTCAACCATCCGTCCGTCCCTCTCTCCAACCACTCTTTAGTTCATCCACCCATCCATCCATTATTCCCTTCCTTTTCCATGCATTTATCCATCCATCCATCCATCTGCGTATGTCCATCCATCCGTCTGTCCATCCTTCCGTCCGTCCCTCATCTCCTCCTCCAACCACCTTTTAGTTCATCCACCCATTACTTCTTTCTCCGTCCATCCATTTATCCATCCATTCATCCGTCCGTCCCTTTACCCCTCCCTCCAACCACTCTTTAGTTCATCCAACAATCCACCTATTACTTTCTTATCCGTCCATCCGTCCRTCCGTCCATCCATCCGTTTATTGCTCTCCTTTATCAGAAACCAGAAATTAAAGATATCGTACAAAGTGTGCTCTTTAGCTCACGTAGGTTTACACTCTCATACAAAATGCACTACATGACTATTAGGATTTCGACCGTTTGTTCTTCAAACCCAATGTTATTTTTTCCGTTCATGCAAAAGATATTAGATCAAAAGGTTGGCATTTGTTATGGTGCATTTCGAAAAACCAGCACTGGCATGGAGCATTTTAGAGAGTAAGTGAGAAGATACTAAAATTCGAACAAAGGATGAGCGTAAAAAAACAGGGATCACTAATGTCAGACTAAACTAAAAGACTGTCCTTACGTTTGGGTAACTCCACTATGCATGTGTATGGGGGAGGGGAGAGGGGATCCTTTCAAAGTCAACTCAGTCCACCGCGGACTCGCTGTACACCACCTTTATCCTACGGCGGTCATGGTTATCCTCATTACAATAAAAGTCTTTGTTTAACCCGTATAAATCTATTCTCAAGGACTAAGATTGTGATGCTACGCGTAGTAGAATCTATTGTTTAAGGTAATTCCCTTGAAAGAAATTTTGCCAATAACTTTGTCCTGAAACTTTGCATGGACATTAATTATGTTATGGACATTTAAAAACTGCAATAAAAAGATGGGGTCACCATTCTCGTTTTTTCGCTAGATGCTCTCCAAATATGTCAATTTATGGGTTTTATAGTGAAATGCGGTAGCAACCGGAAGCTGCAATCAAGAACCTTTATTCACCGTTAAAAGTACTTTCATATAACAAAACGTACTTATAACTCGAAGTTTACAAGATAATCTATACTATTAAATCCATCAAAGTCATTGGATAACTATGATTCTTGAACTATTAGGGAACAATGCAGGTATGCACGCCTACGAACGTCCAAAAATTGCACGTCTACTATTCCCATCAAAATATTTCAAAATCTATCCAATAATCTTTCCTTCATATTTTGATATATAATGACGAGCATCGCATTTATCAAAAATCTGAAATAAAAAAATGGGGGTCACCATTCTCGTTTTTGATTTATCTTGAAAAAACATCTCAAAATAGTCCAAAACTGACACTTTTTAGAGTGGAGACTGGGGCAATTTCTCTACGCAAAAAAGAGAAAAAAGTGAAAATTGGTTTGGAAAATGTTTCTTATTTAGTTTCCTAAAGAAAAATGCCTTAACTTTTTTAGTTCCATTCTTTTCGTTGCATGCGCAAAAATATGCGCAGTGCAAAACAAGGGAATTACCTTAAACCAGTATGGCTGGTGCGTGAAAAGGTTCATGATAAAAGACATGAACAAGAACTGTCGAAAGCAACACAAAAATCGCGACCCTAAGACCTCCAAAAAGGGGAAGAAAAGGGAACAATGCTTTGACTTCTTACCTCGATTGCTTCTTCTTTGTTTGCCAGTTGATCCTTTAGCTCGTCTATCAGTATCTTGGTGTTCCTCTGGGCTTTAACATTCTCATCCATTTCCACAGCTAACCTTCTCTCAGCCTCTTCACGTGCTTCTTCTTCCAACAGAAACAACTCCCTGAATGAAGACGCCTTGGGATCTATCAAACTCAACTCCTCTTGCATCCACTCATCATACTCGGCCTTAAATGCCTCCTTCGTTACATCTACCTGTATTGATGCATTTCCTACTTTAATAAGACCAATTGTCTGGGTATCTTGAGATTTGAAAGAGTTCTCAGTTTGTGTCTGCGACTCAACTTTTCTTTTCAAGGTTTCTCCAACTCTGATGCCATTTCTTTTGGCAAGCTCTTCGAAACTATCTTGTCTTAATGATGTAGTCTTTCTATATCCAGCTTCATTATTGGTCCAATCCATTCTTTCGTGACTTTCAGTATCAAATTTTACCAGAGTGTTAAACTGCGTGCCGTTGTAACGAGCAAAAGGTGGCACAGCATTTGGACCAAAAACACCTTCGCCGTCATGGCTCGGTGCCATGGGCGTGGTCAATGGATTCAACCAATCACCATTCAGAAAAGCTATATTCGTATTCGGTTTTGGTGCAAGTATTTTCAGAACATCCGTATCATTAGCTACATGTCCAGGTATCGCCCTTACAGGAGGAAAACTTGTAGTATTCTCATTCGAATGTTCCATCGTGGAAACATGAGACCCTCCAAGTCGAATACCGTTTCTTAATGCCCGCTTTTCGAATTCCTCTCCTGTTATCGTATCTTTAGCATAATGCTGTGTAATCGTTTCATTTACTGGTGAGACGTTTCCAACCTTGATACCCTTCTCTAACGCGAGCCTAACAAATAACTCCTCTATATCTTGGTCTTTCTCTTCTTCTTTCACAGAAACTTCAGGCAAATGAACCGGTTCTGCGTTGTAACCAGTGTTGGTGGGAGAGAGTCTTCCAACTTTGATACCTTTTTCTAATGCACGTCTAATAAACAAGTTCTCTACTTCCGTGTCTTTTTGGGAAAAGAAATTTTCTCTTTGAGAAGATTCAGGCACAGAGACTGCTTTCACGTCATTTCTAGTTGGTGGGGAAATTTTACCGACTTTGATTCCCTTTTTTAAAGCAAGTTTTATAAAAACATCTTCTACTTCTTGGTCCTCAGTTGACTTTGTATCTTCGTCTTCACAAAAAGAGGCAACTTCAACTGGATCGTATAAGTTGTTTGAAGAAATCTCATCCGCTTTATGCGCCATTGATTCGGACAGATTCGGGACTTGTTCGGTTGAGTTTGGTACTGTTTCGTCTGGGATGAACTTCGATTCATTTGGATTTAATACAGCTTCGTCTGAGTACGACATTAGTTCGTTTGGATTCAATATCGCTTCGGCTGAGTACGACATTGGTTTATTTGGATTCGATATTGCTTCGGCTGAGTACGACATTGGTTTATTTGGATTCGATATTGCTTCGTCTGAGTACGGCATTGGTTCGTTTGGATTCGATATTGCTTCGTCTGAGTACG